TCCTATTAAAACTTTCTCTCAAAAGTCTTGAAGAACTGGCTTTATGAAATTGCAATGTTCTTGAATTTTAAGGTAAACATGTATATTTGAATATTTTCAGTGAATAAAAATAATATGAGAGCAATCTCTGCTCTAAAAATTAAAACATCTATTAATCCTCACGAACCGTTCTATCATTTACTAGTTACATATTTTAGATCAGAGGTTAATTGCACTGTAAATTAAATATCGAATAATAGCTTTAAAAAATTACCGTTTTTGTAGACTTTCTCAGAATATGAGGAAATTGACGCATTTCGTGGCATCATGATGCATTAACTAGCCAGAAAAAAATACGTCCTTTTTGATAAATACGCAACCAACGGAAATATTCGGCGACAATTTAATGTGTAAATAATGATCGAACAGTTAGTACATGTAACTATGATAGACGTCAGTCGGCATTTGACTAAATAATATGTTGTATTTGCTAATGAGGTAATTAAATAGACCATAGAACCTCGTTTTAGAAATTGTTTCTACGTAGAGCATGTTTTATCGCATTGAATCAACTGAGAGATACAGACCCAATATGCAGCTGATGAAGATATATTGTTGCATAAGTAAGGGAAGTGACGTTTATCATAAAGCTTGGTTGTAATACTACCAATCTTCTTTTTATACGCTACTCTTCTCATAAACCCTTGGCATACAGTGTAAAAAAGTTTGGTATTTTTTTCTTAAGTTGTTATTGGATTGGATCGATATCGATCGATCAGTAAACAGTTGATTTTTGTAAATGACGATTTCTGCATTTGGACTCTTGGGAATGAAAGACGCAATTAAACGACGATCATATGCTACTCCATGAACAGTCGTACGTGGTTTCATCCAATATCTTACCCTTATCCTGCCGAGATAGTTTTGACTTATCAGCACAGCTGCTGCCGGGAAAGTTCAGTGTAAACAAATCAGTCAAAAGGAATGCAGAAAACTTTCTTATCTGCCTGTATTATCTTTATTTTCCTTAGAAAACCTTTAGAAAACTTGTACAACATTAATTTCACTATCTTTCGATATAAATTTTATACATTTATTTTTTTTATATTTATAAGAATACATGAATGCTATAAAGACAACTCAAAAAAGATCTGTTTATTAATAAATAAAGCTATAATTGATATTTACTCAGTCTGTATGTTAAACCTTAGCATCACTATTCTCTTCATTAATAGATTCTTTATCTGAAACTGCCATAAAATTATATCTAATACTTCCTCTAAATTAAAGCCAAGCAGATTTTCCTTAGCCATTCTAGAAACTCTCTTTGCTTTGATATTTGCCTCATTTTGCCCCAGATTTCACACCTACAATCACTGATTGGTTCAGTATTTTTATAAAACTATTTCCATTGGTCTGTATTTTTGTTACCTTGATTCATACATCTTACTACAGTGCTGAAAATAGCTTGTAATGTAGCATCATATGAGGAAACCCCCCAAAACGACCTGAGGTCGCGATTGGCAGCAGCAGTACTGATAAGCCATCACGACTCTAGGTCGCGATCGGCAGGATAAGGTATGTGTATGTATACATAATATATGTGCAAAATAAGAAGAAGGGTTATAGATATGCACTTTAAATGACAAATAAAAAATCTATACCATTTTCTTTTAAAACCTTCATGATTTAAATACGTTATTGATTTCTGCTGATGAAGCAAGTTTTGCATAATTGTTTAAATTCGAAATCACGTGCCAAAATCATTTGTTGCAAAAAGATATTAACCATTATTTTCCCATTTTTTTCCCATATTTGCTTTTTCTTCTTGATAAGTATATTGTACATATTTTTACAACCATTTGTGCTTTGATAAAAAACATAAATTGAATTTGGGATAAAAGGTCCACTTTCTTCTTTTTTTTCAATATAAATACTTTTCAATATCTTTGTAACAGTTATTTTTAAACCGGTATATTTTACAAAATTAGTTTGTACATTCATATTATTAAGGTACTCGAGGCTTATAAACTTTCCTTCAACTTCAAACAGATCTCTTATGAAAACAAAGCCTGCATCAAAATAACTTTCAAAAATACAGAAGAATTGTTTATTTTAATTCTTGGGTTAAACCATATATGTTCATGAAGAAGTTGAGTAGTACATGTTTTTTGACTACCACTGCAGTCAATGATTTTTACCCATTTATTTCAATAAATGAGATAAATTATGATTTTGTTCACCAAAAGCTAGATATAAGAATTAAGAAAAGAAAATACAAACAACAAATGATATTATCATTAAAACAAAGTACACTTCCTACTTTGCAAGGCTTTCAGTGTTTGGTTTGAATACAATGATTTTATTTGTTTACGCGGGTATGGTAAGGAAGCATATAAATCATTTCTCGGGAAATTAAGACTTTTTAAAGAAAATTAAGTTTGATAATTTACCCAAACCACTGATAAATGTTAACAATAATTAACTATTGCATAAAGATAAAAAAAGTGTCTAACGCAAAGACGTGCACCAGCACCACTGCATCACGTGACTTCTATTTATAGCGAAATGTTCCTTAATAATAAAAAAAAAGCTAACAGAACTACAATACCCCGAAGTTTCATAAATTCTTTGAGTAAATAATATAGTCGAAAAACATCTATTTTGCATAAAAAGTGCTGCTAGAATCCCACTGTCCTGTCAGTAAAATAATTATTCCACACATTCGCACGAAACCGATATTTTGAATTTTATACATATGAACCGAAATTTTTCGTACAACCCTGCTTAACTCGGGATTCTAGCAGCACCTTCCAAGTATTTTAGAAGGCGAACTTTCCATATGTACAAATCTTATGTTTTGAAATATCAAGCTTATTGTTGTTCTACTGCATTATTTTTGTCAGGAATGACAGAGGAAAAACCAACCAGGATACTTTATAACTGACTGTATTCAAAAGAGAAAATAATCGATAAAATAAATTAACATACCTGTTTAATTAACTGAACTCCACATGAATTTCACATAATATTCACGGTATTTGCTTTTAAACTCCATTTTACGTACCTCTGTACATGCCGTTCTCCGCCAAATTCTCTTTACACGACAAGATTAATACCCAAGTTACTTGATGTACACATATGACGTCATTGATGGTATATTTTAATCAAAATGACAGATACAGCAAAACAAAATAAAAACGTTTTATTTTTGTTAATGTTTAGACGTTTCTATTCATTTCCTAGAGTGAAATTACATCTCTAAATACCACTATTACGAAAACTTGTGTTGTAAAATTGACGTCATCTCGCCTACTATGACGTCATAATGTATCACTGACTTAGTCAAGGTAGAATATTCTGTATGCTTCCTCATCACCCCAGTGTATTTCAGGTAAGATGATTCAATGAATTTAAGTACATAATGGACGAAGCCATCACATGTGACTTTGCCTCGATCAAGGCACATAAGGCAGACAAAGTGGGAAACCTCACCTTTAGGTCAGTAGATCACGGCACATAAGGCAGAAAAAGTAGGAAACCTCACCTTTGGGTAAGTAGATCAAGGCACACAAAACCAAAAAAGTAGGAAACCTCAATTTCAGGTTAGTAGATCAAGGCACATAAGGCAAACAAAGTGGAAAATCTCATCTTTAGGTTAGTAGATTAAGGTACACAAGGTAGAAAAAGTAGGAAACTTCACATTTAGGGCAGAGGTTAAAATGTATAAAACAGGAAAATTTAGAGTCGAAATCCCCTGTCTTTTAACTGAATTCTCTTCCTTACAGAGATTTACAACAAGGACAGAGGTAAAGAGGAACCAAAGACAAATGACAAGGCCGCGGAAATGAGAAACAGAATCATAAAGCGGGCAGCGCCGGAGTTCCATGATGGAATATATGGTAGACAAGTGTTGTTTTTATTTCGTGTCAAATACTTTCAAACGAGGTAAATGCTGTTAATATTTCTGGTCAAATAATTTCAGCCAATCTGAAAGTTATTGATATTCAAGGTAAAATAAATTCAACCAATCTGAATGTTGCTTGTTTATGGTCATATAATTTCAGCAAATCTAAATGGTAATATTTCAGGTCAATACTTTCAGCCAATCTAGGTATTGGAATGCCGATGTTGGCCAGTAATTATATCCCACCAGGAATGACCGTCCATCTACAGAGTGAAAACGGAATTATGGGATTGGTTAGTCTCCTAATTATCTTGCATTATGTGTAGTAATTTAGCCTGAGATAATTGTGATTTGATATTAATTTTATGTCCCATTATTATTCTGAAGAAAAATATTTATTGTAATATTAAAGGGTCCGTACCCATTACCCAGTGAGGTTGACCCAGATCTGATCAACGCAGGCAAACAGACTGTCACCAACATCCCAGGGAGCTCTTTCTTCTCCAGTGACGATTCCTTCGCTATCTTTCGAGGATTTGTTTATTACTCAAATCAAATCGAGCAATCATAAGCTTCTTAAACCCTCACATATAACTGAAGAGAATGCAGCTAAAACAATTTATTTTCCCTTAAACTTCAATATGCCAACAAATAAATTGATGAAGTTAATATAAATGGTATTCTTAATCACAAAGGGTCCAGTCTTACATTATTATTCCATCAAATTTCAAGTTCAAGAGTACACCTTGTATTTCTTAAAGAAATACATCATTGGACTATTTCTTCCAAAGTTTTTAATTACAAGAAAACATTTAATGGCATTGCTGTCAAATATTTGCAAAAACATAATCCATTTTTACAGTTGACATATTAATTTAACCATTTTAGTTTTATGACGATATTGTTTTTTTACAGAGGACATATAAACTTGACCAGGGGCATTACAAGTTTCTCGTTATGGAGATCTGGCCAACTGAATGATTCCGGTAAGCTAAAGGATGTATATCAGGAAATGAAGTTTCACTTTGATTATAATTTAGAAATGAAAACTTAATTTACTCTTTATGAAAACATTTTTTCTATTTCATGTTTCTTATATCATAATTCAATTCTTATGGGAAATTTATGTGATTATGACTTATTCAATGAACTGTTTGCCTTGTTGTACTAATCTGTTATATATTTTTAGGGTGGTTAGTCAAGGGAATGGGTGGAGCTATGGATCTGGTGTCCAGTCACAAAACTAAGGTTATTGTTACAATGGAGCACCAGGACAAGGTTATATAATCTTCAGACTTGCATTTTTTAGTTCAAAACCTTGTAAATAAGTTTGTTGCATGATTATTGTTCAGTATAAGTTTAATGAGTGTTAATGTATTTCAGAAAGGAAACAGTAAGATAGTCAACAGCTGTGATTTGCCACTGACGGGTAAAAACTGTGTGGATATGATCATCACAGACAAGGTATGGCATTCACTGATGTAGTCATAATGATATAAATCTGTCAGCAGAGATTCTGTAAAAATGTAAAATATAACTCTGGGAGAGGCCTTCCTTATTATAATATATCTTAATGGTGAATATGATTATAATCCTTCATATTTCATTGTTTGTTTGATTATAATCCTTTACATTTCAGTGTGTGTTTGATTATAATCCTTTATATTTCAGTGAGTGTTTGATTATAATACTTTATATTTCAGTGTGTGTTTGACGTGGACTCACAGAAGGGACTAATTTTAACGGAGATTGTAGAAAACGAAGATGCCGCCAGCATTGTTGGTGCCACCAACTGTGAATTTGTAGTAAGTACAAGTTAAGTACTCCTGATAATAAATGAGTTAAATACAGTTATGTGAATTTCTTTTAAAAATTTCAAACTAATGAAAAATTAAATGACAAACTATTCCATGTGTGTAGGTTATTAAACTAGAAAAAAATATTGAATGAATCAAATTTACATAATTTTGATAACAAATATTGCCTTTAAATAGTGCTTTATGATTCATTTATTATCAAATGAATAATGTGTATGCAATTTGCAAAATCTGCCATATTTGAAAATAATCTTGTGATATCCATTTGAGAATTCTCTGTAGGACTGCACCAGAGACTGAGATTATTTCTATATCCAGATCCATGTCAGGTCTAGAGCAGTACCGTATAATTCTATTTAACCTTAATCTTTTTTCAGGTTGCTCCAGATGTTAAAGTAATGGGGCAGATTCAGACATAGATAATGGGGAGACAACTCACTGCTGGTCTCGTCAATGTGTGTGTCTGATATGTGATATGTAGACTTATAAACAGGGTGGCATGATGAGAGCTATAGACCTTAACACTGGAGTAGAGGTCAAAGGTCAAAACACTCAACTCTTTGTGATCTGAGCCTCATGTAATAATTGTGAGACAAATATGTTTATGTTTCATTATGTATTGTAGGGATAAATTAACCTTGCTCTCATCTACTTGGCAAAAGTGATATTTCACAGAAGAAGACAATTTTTTTTTGTATACATGATTTTAATCATAGTCAACTAAGGTATTGCATAATAAATAAAAATTTTCTGAGTTTCTGTGCTCTTCACAAACAAATATCTACTTGAACGGCTTCAAAACATTGTTTCATTAGTCGTTTCTCTGCTTAATTAAGGATGTACAATGTGTATGACCTACAAACATAATCTGTCCAATTCAATAAAATTAAATTAAAGATGAACTAAGTGTCAAAATTATGAATGCCATAGCATCTGGCTTAAAACATGAATCAAATTCAATCACTGAGTTGTTGCATTTTGAACTCTTCAACTTTTTACAAGTTTTTTAATGAATTATATAACTATAAAGTTATTATGATTCTAATTGATTTTTTTTTATTCCATGATATATTTCCTTTTTTCTGATAGAGTCTTGAGAATTTACTTTTTTTCCTCCAAATAATGAGTTGTCCTTGGTCTATACTAGTATTAAACATTTTAATACATAAGGTAGAAGAAAATAAAATATTCTTTATATATTTTGGTTTCAGATGAGTACAATTAACACATGTACAATTGAATATTTATATCTGAGGGCATTTATAAATCATATGATTTTTTTTTTATTGATGATGAATTCTGAGATAATTGAGTTGTTTCAGAATAAAAGTGATATTTCTGTACTATTTCTTTCTCTTTTCTTGTAACACATAGGTTTATAATAAATTGAACTAGCGGTAGATGATGTACAGAGTGGGAATCAATAGCTACAAGAGGCACAGAAACATCAGAGTGCCACGAAGAAGAAAAAAAAATCATCTGTTCTCCAACCTAATTACTGTCGTTGTAATTGTCATTATAATCATTGTAGTGACAATGACAAATAGTGATTCAGGGTGATAAAGTTAGAGAGTGTAGGATAGCTGGAATTAACAATGACCACTGAACTACACATACATGTACATTTATGATATCATAAAGAACCAATTTACATGTACATGCATTTGAAATATTGGATTTTCAGATCATAAAATGCTTATGAAAATTTTTATGAAATAAATGTTATTTCCAAACACTTCCTTACAAATAAAAACCCTGAGGGCAAAAGGCCTTTCTAAAGAATGTTACATTGAGATGACAAGATAGGAATGTCGGGATTATAACCACATGAAAACAATAATTGTGTAGTTGTTTATAATGTCCTTGTAGTAGCCACGAATAGAATACTGCACAGTATAACTGTCAATATAGAGTACTACACAGTTGTACAATGATACAGTATTAAACAGTTATACAATAATATAGTACTACACAGTTATAAAATTATATACTACATAACTACACATTTATACAATTATACAGTATTATACAGTTTATACTATTACTGTATACAGTAGCACACACTTATAAAATTAAACTTTAATTACTAAAAAAAAATTACAATTAAAAGTATACATAGAAATATGAAACAATTATTGTATCAATAAGCAAGGGTCCTTCTTCCAGAATTGTGAATTTCAAGCCCCAGCTTGGACAAGGATACCATATGATAGAGGGGAAAGGCAGGAGGGGTGGCTCTAATGGTTAATACTGAAAATGAATTACTGCTTTAAAATCTGCTCCTTGGTATTACTCAAACATTTATGATGAGCAAGGAGGCCTTTTCCAAAATTATGAAAGGTATGGATCCCGAAGCCGGGGTTCCTGTGGGGTTTGGGGCACTATACTGATTATCACTGATTAGTTGAAATGCATTTTTTTGTTCTGCCTATTGGTATTAAGTAAGCAAACTAAGTATGCTAAGTGTATTGTTATGCCCTCCTTTGAAGAAGGCAGGAACATTGGTTTAATTTGCTGCTGTCTGTCAGTCTGTTGGTTTCTCCTTACAGTTACTGTATCATTATGTGGTGACTTTTGAGAGTTTGTTACCACCTTAAGTTTTGTTGCCTTGGCAGATTTCTGTGTATTGTTGATAACCATATGTGTGTTGGTTTTATTTTTTTGTTTAAGGTTTGTTACCTGGCATTAGTCTGAGTGCCTTCTTTGTTAATCTAAAGGCTCAGATGTTACAAGTGATTTTTGACTGAGAATAACAACTTTCTGTGGACGTCATGTGACTGAAAAATTTTTATTCAGCTAATGAGCACGATCAATAACTTAAATCTGTTACTTGAAATCAGATTGATTTTTGTTCAAAAATGCACTTTGAATGATGAAATTTGAACTATTATTATCAGAAAGATTTAAAAGACTTTCTTTACTAAATCTAAAAATGGGGAAAAAACTATTTGTAACCATTATTTTTAACAAACTTTGTTGACTTTGTTGGAGGAAAAAGAGATACATGTTGCTGGTGTTTTAGTGACAGTTAATGAAAAAAAATTGAGGAGTTTATAAATCAGATGATTAAATCATCTACAGTAACTCTAGATCACTTCATTTTCATTATCTCTTTATTACTGAGTCTCATTATTCACAAATAATTGTTTTTGCTCTATATTATCTTTAGAAATATGAATATACCTAAGAATGGAATTTTCACAAGCAGGCCAGCTGTCTTGGGTAATTACATGAAATAAAGTTTGCGTAAATAAAAAGTTATTTACAGTATATATTATATGGAATAAGTATAGATATCAGGCATCAGAATAATTTTCTATGAAAGCAGAACATGGCTTATGAAGTACAAATTACACCTTAGTTTGGTCCACATGTGAGTCCCTGACTTATGTAACAATGAAAAAGAAAAGTATAGAAGGCATATAGTAAGTGATTACAAGGTCACATACATCTGACCTTGACTGACCTGTTCTAGCTATTTGAACACTTCTGTTTTTATTAGCTCACCTGAGCTGAAGTCTCAAGTGAGCTTTTCTTAACACATTTTGTCTGTAGTTCATCTCTCCGTCTGTAAACTTTTTACATTTTCGACTGGAGTTCAGATCCTCTGGGCCAATTTTAACCACACTTGCCACAAAACATCCTTGGGTGAAGGGTGTTCAGTTTTGTTCAAAGGAAGGGCCACAGCCTCATTGGAGAAGAGATAGTTAAGAAATACTGAAAATTTGGTGACATGTTCAATAAATCTCTCTCTAGAACCCCTGACAGTAAGATGAAACTTATATGGAAACATCCTATGATAGTGTAGATTCAACTTTGTATTCAACTTATATTTATATGGAAGCATCCTCAGGAAGTGTAGATTCAAATCTGTTCAAACCATGACCCCTGGGGACAGGGCGGTTCCACAAGGTACGATCAAAGTTTTACATAGGAACACCTAGAATTTTTTTTTAAATCTTCTTTAGAAGAACAGCAAAGCCAGATATGATCATATTTATGTGTAGGCATCCTCAGGTATTGTAGATGCAAATTTATTCAAATTACGACCCCTTGGGATATGTTGGGGTCACTATTGATAATATAATATTTTACCTAGAAATATGTAGGAAAAAAATTGTTGAAATTCATTTAATAAACAAATCATAGATTCATTTATTTCCAAGTAATATTTAATGTGGTTAAAGTTAGACATAATTTTGAGTCATATTTTAAAGCCCAGATTTGTATGCAGAGAAAAGATTTCCATAACATCAAAACCGCTTTAAACGATGATGTTACACCGGGGCTGTCTTCAAGTTTTGTGGATCAAAATTGGTTTCTTGACATGGGGACACATTTTCATTGGAATAAAGATGGGATAAATACCTCTAAAAATCTGCTGAAGAACACAAGGGTTAATGTGACTTACTCTGGTGCGCATTAATGCCCATGGACCACTTATTTTAAAATAAAGAATGATTCAGAGACTTTGAAATGAGAAATACAAGGATCTAAATATTCTTATTCATATCAGCTAATTTTTCATAAATGTTTGACATTTATTTTACTATTTAAGTAATCTTACGGAAGGAAACTTTATTGCTCCATTCTTATATGTGTAGCTGCTTGTATATTGTTGTATTGTACTTGTCTGAGAGATTGTTGGTATGAGTATAGAGCGGCCTGGAGGTTCCCTTTCACCTGTTGACAGATCCCCAAAATCTGCCGCGATATGTCTTTGAGAGGTAAAGGTATAAGCTGACCCTCATCATAGTAAACTAGGGTCTGTAGATCTTCTAGAGCTGTTTGTATTCTCATTGTGTTTACATGTCTATTGCACAAGATCTCTAACATGTATAACAGTATCAATGGTGGAACAAATATACATTTTCCTTCTTCTGTAGAGCAGACTGTTGTTTTGGTATCAATTCATTGATGTAATGGATATCATTGTCAAGTTTGACATTCAATGCTACAGCCTTTCTCATCTTAATAAACCAGGACTGTCCCCCAACAGCCTCATTATACATCTCTTTATCTAAATTATACCCATTCATCACATATGGCTGTGCTAACTTGACCTTGATTATTTCTATAATAGATAAAGCTTCCATGTATCTAAGTGTCTTGTAATAATACATGGCTATGTACGTCATGTCAGTAATACAACCAAACTTTGATGCTAATTTCAACATGTGACAAGAGATTTTATCAGCTCTATACATCAGTTTGTTTTTACGAGTGTAAGTTTCCACGTGTAATATAAAAGCAGTTCGCTGAAGGACATTAGCTGTAAGTCTCTGTAGCATAATGACTTGATACTGTGTCAGGAGGGATGAATCTATCATCTGTTCTATTGTATGTAGATCTCTCAAACTGCTTTGTAGATTCAATTAGTTTAATATGTCATATCTGCGAATTTCAAGAAATATGTTAACATCAAACTTAGCCTCAGAAATCAGAGTATGTACATCTGTACAGATGGAGGGTTTGGGGTTATGAAGAACATTCATAATACAATTTCTAATGGAGGGGCTGTGTAGCAAGAATGCTAGACCCTTCTCATACATCCAATACAGCTTAGTAAATAGTTGATGTTGGTTGTCGCCATGAATTTTACTAAAAAACATGTTGTTATCTGGAATGAAAAAGTTAAGACAAATCCCCTCATACACCCATTTGAAGATGAGTTTAAAACAGACCCAGAAACCCTCCAGGAGATTTTGTGGACACCAGTGAGGTATTTTAATTTGTTGAATCACCCAGAAAACTGCTGACCTCATGTGATAGTAACACAGTAATTTATCATCTACATCCAGTCCACAGTTTATTATGTCTGTTAAGAACAATCTAAGCAAATCCATAAGT